ACAATTACTCAGGGGCGGTATACGAGGGTTAGGGTTAGAACCGACGTGACCAGGCTTGAGGGTTCCTAAACAAGGCTGAGCTCCTGGCTGGCTCAGCTTGGCTCCACTGTTGTGGTGTTTGGGTCAGAGTTCGATTGAGCCTTCCGGATCGAGCCTCTCAACTACAAGGCACCAGGGCCAACCGCCCGTGGCAACACTGTTTCGAATTTGGGCCTGGATGCATCGCGGTTCTTGACAAATGACCCAAACTGCGCAGCTGCAGACTTCGCAATGGCGCCGCCTGCGAAGCGACGGAAAAGGAACGTGGTGGACGACGACGAGTCCGAGGCTGAAGAGACCGGCACGCCTTCCAAGAAAAACACCCTGACCCGCTACCTGGTGCCCTCGCCCGCCTCGACCTCCAATGCTGCCAACCCGCGCGCCACGACCGCCTCGCCGAGCCCGCTGCGAAAGAAGAGTACGCGCTCGACGGCCAGCACTGATGCCATCCCCGCGCCTTCGCTACTGACGCGCTCCCGCCCCGGGAAAGCGTCCACCAAAAGCCCCAGCACGAGCCCCGACAAGTCCCGAACCAAGAAGCTCAAGCTAGAGGATAAGGGAAAGACGGCCGACCTATTGACGCTGTTCTCGAAGCAAGCCCAAAAGAGCCAGTCCCAGGCCCAGTCCAACGGCGGGAAGGAGGCCATTGGCGACATCGACCTCGAAGACTTCAACGACCCCATCTCGGACGACGAAGTAGTGCTTACCAAAGCCGGGAGCACGAGCATTGTGGGGAAGGCTGCCCAGAACGCGCAGAAGAGATTCAAAAGCGGCTCCCAACCAGCGCCGTCGAGCTCCACGACCAGCGCGCGGTTCATCAAGACGCAGAAACCTCCCGCCGCAGGCCATGCCTATGACGATTCACGGCCCTGGTCGGAGCGCTTCGCGCCCGCCAACCTCGATGAGTTGGCTGTGCACAAGAAGAAGGTGGCGGATGTGCGCAAGTGGCTGGAGGATGCGGTCTCGGGCCGCACGCGGCAGCGGCTGCTGATCCTCAAGGGCGCGGCTGGAACGGGCAAGACGACGACGCTACAGCTGTTAGCCCGCGAGATGCAGCTCGAGGTGCTCGAGTGGAGGAACCCTACGAGCACATTCGGTGCCACGCTAGGGTTCCAGTCTGCCTCGGCGCAGTTTGACGAGTTCCTAGGTAGAGGCGGCAAGTTCGGCCAGCTCGACCTGGACGAGGACGAGTCTTTGGGAGTTGAAGCCAATCTCACAGATGACTCGGGTCGCCGCGTCATTCTGATCGAGGAGTTCCCAAACACCTTTATGCGATCGTCCAGTGCGCTGAGGTCGTTCCGAAACACCATCTTGCAGTTCCTGGCAACCAATACGCCGTCACTCGCCGCTTTTAGCCAGATGGCGGGCGCAGACCCTGTTATTCCCGTAGTCATGGTTATCTCAGAGACTCTGCTAACTACGACCTCGGCTTCGGCGGACAGCTTCACGGCGCACCGCCTCCTCGGGCCTGAGATTCTCCGGCATCCCGGCTCGGCCGTCTTCGAGTTCAACCCGATTGCGCCATCGCTTCTCGCGAAGGCCTTGGAGTTGGTGGTGCAAAAGGAAGCCCGAAAATCCGGCCGACGGCGAACGCCGGGACCCTTGGTGCTCAAACGCCTCGGCGAAATAGGGGATATACGGAGTGCCATTTCCTCGCTCGAGTTTCTGTGCGTGAAGGGTGACGACGACACGGACTGGGGTGCAAAAGTTGCATTTACGAAACCAAAGAGGGGGGCCAAGGACGTTCCGGCCTTGACGAAAGGAGAGCAGGAGAGCCTTGAGCTGATCTCGCAGCGCGAGGCGAGCCTGGGAATCTTCCATGCCGTCGGCAAGGCCGTCTACAACAAGAGGGAGGAGCAGTCATATCCGAGCGGGTCTGCTGGTGCCATGGCTGAGGCTCTGCCGGACTACATTGCTCACCGGTCGCGCCCAAAACCGTCCCAGGTGGCCGTGGATAGCCTGATCGACGAGACAGGGACCGACATTGGCACCTTCATATCCGCACTGCACGAGAACTACCTCCTCTCGTGCGAAGCTGGGCCTCAGGACATGAATTCATCGGTGGACTACGTCAATGAATGCTTAGAGTACCTCTCTGAAGCCGACCTGCTCGCTCCCTCGTGGGACATCTTTTTCGGCGGCAAGGGATATCCCGGTGGACATCTCGGCAAGGATTCGGGGAGCCATGTGCTTCGACAGGACGAGATGGCCTTTCACGTGGCGGTTCGCGGTCTCCTTTTCTCCCTGCCGCACCCCGTCCGCCGGCAGACTCATCCGACCGGCGGGAGAGGGGGCGGAGACGCGTTCAAGATGTTCTTCCCTACCAGCATCAAGTTATGGCGTACGAAGGAAGAGCTGGAGACGCTCATCGACATGTGGGCCACGAAGATGCTCAAGGGCGAGGATGGGTTGGCACCGCATGCAGGTGGCTCGAAGACCTCGAATGTCACCAATGGATCTGCTGCCTTTCTGCGCGGCAAATCTAACAGCGGCAATGCCAGCGACTTAGCCACCAGCCAAAAGAACTCGCATCAGACTCTCGGGCAGCCTCGCCAAAAGGACCCCGAGGAGCCGGTAGCCGCGCCGCTGCTGTCCCTCGGAACCGCAGCTCGGGGAGAGATGCTGCTCGAACGCCTCCCTTACATGACTCATATCGCGAGGCGCAAGCGCTGCTCTTTTGGCACGCTCCGCGTTCGAGATCTTGACCGCATGGTCTCGTTCCAAGGCATAGGTCCGCCCAAGACGGACGACGCTTCCGATGATGAGCAGGACGAGAATGGTGGGGTGGCTGGCGAAGGCTGGGCTACGGACAAGCCGACGGACGAGGCTAGCCCCCGGAAGAAGAGCGTCGTGGCGATGCTCAGAAAGCAAAGTTTACAGAGCGAAGCATCAGTCAGCGCGAGCTTACCCGTGGAGAGTCTGGTGCTCAGTGATGACGATATCGAGGATGACTGACCGGCCGGGCAGGAAGCAGGCTGAGGCACAGAAGGTCGCGTTTATGGAAATACAGGACTGCTGCTTGTGTTTAGAGTCACGGAGGGGCTAAGGCGCTCGGCGTTTAGGCATAGGTGTCCGCGAAACCCGGCTGGTGGCGGGCCCAGAGGCGTGTGTGTGTATTAGTTTCGGGAAATAAAAGACCATGCTCAGCTCAGACAGGGTAACCGATAATTGGACTTGTTCACGACTTGACAGCTTACTCCGAAGAAGTGGTCGGAAAGCCTTGTCTAGTTTTGGGGGGGTCGAGGCCGTCCAGTCGCTGGATACGTAGCGATTGAGCCACACCACACCAACGTGCTCACGTCCTTCCTTCTAAGCCCTAGCGAATCTTGACACGAAACATGAGGGGACGCCGCCCTTACGTCCCATTTCATGGGGGTATCTCAGGATCCAGTCCGGTTTTCTTACGCCTCCACTCTCACAGCCCATTCTGGGAACTGAACTCTCATGGCTTAGCGGCGGCGGCCTCGGCACCGCCCGCCCCTTGTCTATCTGCGAGGATCTTCTGCCGCATGACTATCTTCATGGTTAGCAGGCGCCTGGATGCGCCACTTGCTCCTACCCGATGGATTGGGAGGGCCGTCATGGCTCGCAGGCTGACTTGCCTTCCTCGACAACCCGCAGGTTGTTGGTCTTGCCCTGGATGATCTTCTCCAGGTCCGAAATGTTTGCACTCAGTTCTTTGACCTTGTCGTCGTAGAATTCGCCAGCGCTCTTGACGTCCTGAGTAGAAAGGGGTCAACAAGTCCCAGAGGAGAAGAGCATGGGTATGCGGGCAGATGATATGGCTTAGAGATAAGAGGGAGGGGAGAAGAAAAGGGGGGGGCTTAAGGACTACCTTTTCAACATAGAATCCTGTCCCGACGTCCACGATGACACGGTCCGGGTTCGAGAGCTTGCCGCGCACATAGAGGGAAGAGGTCAACGGCACGAGGACGTCTGGCTTCCCACCTAATGTGCGTACGCATGCATGGTCAGCGCAGCTTCCCATGCGCCGCTTCTCCGCGTCCCTATCCACCACTTCTCGGCGCGGGGGGTGCCAGGACGGGGGCGAAGCGGCCTCAGAGCAAAGGGCCTTACCGTCGGAGGCGCCGGTCCGGCTCTTGACCACGCGCGCACACTCCTTGAACTTTGCCTGGGCGGCGTGCAGCTGGCTGAAAGATCCAGTCAGGTGCTCGACCTCCTCGTCGAGCTGCTTCTTGATGGCGCTGAGCTGCTGCGAGCTCAGGCTGTCGAGGCTCACTGGCAAAGGGTGTCAGCGGAGTCGGGTGGTCGGGGGGCCTTAGAGGTGCGAGGCCCGGAGTTTGGCATGCGCTGGGCACGTGGAGGGGTGCTTGCCTGTCTCCTGACCCCGGCCTGCCATCTTTGAGTCTGCGGGCACGGAGTGGTTTGGGATTGCGAGGGCTGTGGAATAGGAGGTGCAGAACCGGGTGCACTAGGCAGCGTTGGAGCAAATGGACTGAGAAAACGAGGCGCGGGGCCCCGATTAGCCGTCGATGTGGTCGCGGTCTAGCGCGATAGGTAGATGGAGACCCCGAAAGATGCATCTATGCAGATTACTCCAGTCGAAAAGTCTCGACACGCAGAGGCCCCTCATCACTCTATAATACCGACTTATGCACAGTTCCCCAGCATGTATCTAGAAACTGGGTTTCTTGTCTTTCTACTTTTTATTTTAAAACCAGGAAAAAAGTCGCATGAAAAGAGTTAGCAATTCTAAAAGACCCGACCACCTTGGCTTGAACAACCCAAGGTACCTTCGTTCGGTGGCCCTCATTTAAAGACATCACACAACCAGTGCTGAGATATACCAGCACGTCGGTGCGCGACCTGCCCCATGGTAACCTGGAGTTTGCCTTTTATTGCAACCCATGCCAATCTCTCTTTCGCGCTGCAAAAAAAAGATGAGCCGACGGGGTCGGGCTTGAAGTCGAGGTAAAAAAAAGTCGTCGAATAAAAAGATTTGGAGGAAAAGGGGATCGAACCCTTGACTTTCAACACGCCTGACACAGGCAGGTCATTGCAAAGCTGACACTCTACCACTGAGTTATACCCCCATCATTTATGTGGGGGTGGCTCTAAAACAGGTTTATATATGTATCTCGCTGTCGGCGTTAGAACCCCTCTTGCGCATTCGTCCAATGGCTGGAGCTGGGGGGCCGGCTGTGCCCAGTGCAAATTAGAACTAAATCCAGGGGGTACAATACATTACGTGCTCGATAGGCCTGCCGTCTTTCCTAGTACCACCGCATTAGTATCCAGTCTCGACATCGGAACTTAGCCTCTCAGAGTGCAGGATTCTTTGGGCCTCCCGAGCAATGCAGGCTTCAGTCATCATTCCCCAACGAAGCCATCCTTCCCGCTTCGCTCTTGGGCGCCTGATGGGTGTACCACCAATGGCAGGAAGCGCCCAATAGTCTCTACTTTGAGGAATTGGAATTCAGGAGACCACCTAGGCAAACACTTTCAGGGCAGCCCCGCGACGAAGGGGCCCGGCTATTGGGTAGCCACTATTATCAGCTGCTTTATGTCGCACAACATCCCATCCCGCTTTAGCAGCGCCACGCAGCCAGCTGGACCCGGATTTCAGATTAGTGTGCCAATCTCTCGATCTAGGCCATCTACAGCCGCCTCGTTATGATGCCACGTAGGGCACCAGGCGCCCTGCGCTGGGCCGCGCCCCCCCAACCATCCGGCCCGACCACTGTCTTCAGGGCAGCACTTTGCGCGACGCACCATGAGCGGCGGCCGAGAGATACGAGGCGACCGGCGCGGATGGTGCCAGATGGACTTGCTGCGGTGACCGAAAGGGAGGATGGCCGACGTGGGAGCGCAATTCGCCTCCCAATTTATCCTCGGGTGCTACCATTTGACTTGGTCCGCGCGTTGGCGGCCAGGTACGACGGAGTAGCCACACAACCCGGTAGTATACATGTGTGCTTCCGAGAAGGGAAGCTCGGCCCTCAGGGGATGTACTGTATCAATGCATGAGGCTCGAAATGCCGCCGCACCGGTGAGTGGTCCGCATGCGAGGGGCGGGCCCTACCCGCGTCCCTGCGCCTGAAGCATACGTCCCTACCTGGTTCAGGCATATGGAGAGGTAAGCAGGTAAAAGTCATCAGCCGTGCCGACGACGCGTACCTTAAATGGACCTCGCTCCTTAGGCCACCATCTGGGCGCGACCCAAAAGAGCACCGCGTGAGCACAGGAGAGAGGGGAGCTGGGTCCGGGGAGGGTGGGTGCAGTGCAGTGCAGTTTCAACATCCTACGGGCGGGAGGGACGGATGGCGATTGGCTCGCGAGATGTATCCTTCACGACCTCTGCACAGGCAGCGTAAAACCCAGCTGGCACATTGTGGCGATGGCACAGCTTGGGTCTGGCCGTGGCGGCGATTGGACGGTGGTCACTGGGGTTTCGGGGCAAACGAGGCGGCCACCGTAAACTCTCACCTTGGCTCACCCGCGGCTGGGCATACACGCAGAATCCATCTCACTTATTCCTCGGGATGAGGCTCTGCGTTTAGCCCTGTGGGCTAGGCTCCATCCAGCAGCGGCCGCCAACACTCAGGTGCCTTGCACCCCTGCAATCGGATCAATACCGAGCAACCGAAAGCTCAGCTCTAAGAGGAATGGGTGGGTGGTGAAGGGGTGGGGAGGGCTAGCTTTTGTCTGCCTGCGAGGTGGCGCGAGCCCCAGCAGCCATTTAGTTGATCTTTTGGCACTGCCGAGGGCTGCGCAGTGGTCACGCCCTAGTCGGCATGACATGGCGACTGACAACCTTATACAGGTTTCTGTCATCGCGGAGCCACCGCGCCACATAAGCCGCCACTAGGTGCTTATGTGCAAAGCATTCACTTCATCCCTCTGACCGTCGGTGGGAGTGCTTCCCATAGCCGTCGGGTCTCGGTAAAGGAACAGGAGGGCACCCGGGGGGGAAGGGAAACGGGAAGGGGGGAATTTGGAAACCCCGGTCCCCAACCCCCCATCGGAACAGATACAGATTACATAGTATTAGACCTGCAGGCAACATGCATAGCTGCAGCATGCAAGGACACCGCTTCTTTGGAGAGAACCAGGGAAACGGGATGCGAAAAGGGGCCTCGTGACAACCTCTTTACTTATTTTTGCAGCCCCATCGTCGCAACGTCGAGGGGCTATCACAGCGCGTCCATGGTTGTTTAATTGTTTCAGAGGGTCTAATGGCGGTAGACAGCCAACGGCCTACATTCCAGCGTGCATAGGCTGGGTCTCCACGACCCTGTCCCGCCCTCAGAGCTTCCGGGCCACACCGCCATCTTGGCTCCCCTTCGTTCCTTTTTCTGTGCTGCTCTGCTGTCTATCCCCATGTCCAGATTGACCTTGAGTCTGGGCCTCGACGACCCGCCCCGCCTGCATCCCCTCCCTTCGTGCCTGTCCGATAGCTTGTCCGATAGCTAAAGTGCAGTGCGGACCGGGGTCGGGAGAGGCTGGGCCGAAGAAGAAGGAAAGAAATTGGCTGACGATGGCGCCCGTCCATGGCTCAGCGAGCCCTACTTCGCACCTAGACTAGCGTGGCCGACCCCGTTCCTCTAGTCGTCCAGCGTCAAGACCTGGGGACACCAAGGACGATGCCATGCTGTCACCTGTCTTACCTTGCTGGCTGCCCGTGCTCGAGCACCTACCGTTCTGCTGCTACCTTCTGGCCTTGTGTAGCTTTACCGGCCAGGGTCTGCAGGATCGGGATCTCCTTTTTGCTCTTCTCTCTCTTGCGCGCGCCCTCTGCTCTTTTTTCCAAATCCATTCCCCCCCCCCCCCGGAGCCCATCCCCGGGACCTTTTGGACAAGCCCATGAGGATCTGGTCTCTCAGACCGAATACGCCACGCGATACCTGATACCTCCCTCTGTGGATCCGTCACATCCAACCCGACTCGTGTCTTGGATCTAGAGTATTCATGAGACAGCCGGGATATACTGTTTTTTTTTGGCCTAGAAGCCTTCTTCTCTGCGTGCTCGTGCTCTCCTATCATCTATCTGTTGGCCCTATCCTGCGGGCCACCGTCTCTAACCCGAGCGTCAACTCTGCCGTCGTCCTACATACCAGAGCCTCCCTCCCTCAATCAACCGCAATTGCAAGGCCACAAAGTCCCATTCTCATCTCGCTTCTCGGGAAAACAAAATCCAGAGTACTTTGTTGCTTCCCTTTTTCTCTCTCTATCTCTCTCTATTTTCTCGCACCTTCTGGCGCCTGTGCTTTCCGCCACAACGCCGTGCCGCTATAGACAGCTTCGTCGAGGCTGTCCCTCGCTTGCAACCTCGCTCGGTGAGGGCTCCAGCGCTGGTGTACGCACCACCACCCACCACCAACACCACCCAGCGCATTTGGAAGGATCCTGTGGGTCCGGAGCAGACCGTGAGATTTCGGACGAAGTGCTAGGTGCCCCGGTGTGCTGCTTTCAGAAAAAAAAACGCCACGGGCGAAAAAAAAAAAAAGGTTGCGCCGGGCAGGCATCAGGGAGGCGGTTCGAGAGTCCTAGGTGCACCGCCCCGCGTCAGGATCCAACGTCAACCTTGAACGAGGGAGCCAAAGAGCAGGGAGGTGCCGTTCGCAGAGCGTGGCTGCTTGAGCTTTCTCAAAGTTGAGACGGACTCTGTATGCTTCAGGCGGCGTTGGGTGCCGAAGTCACTCGAGAGCAGTTGGCCTATTTTTGTACGAGCCGAGGGGCACAGAGCGTCGCTACTGTATCCTTCCTTTTCGAGGACCAGCACACCACTCTTTCGGTGTCTTGCTGACGTGGGAGCTTCCCGATAGAGCAGAGACCAGGCATTTCATCCGCTCTAGTGGTGCTCGATCTCGAGGTGTCGCCGAGAGGACCTAGGGGTATTGGGGCGTGAACAGACCGTTGTTGGGGTACTCGTCTTGGCGCACACACGCTGCTGTGGATCCTCGCCGCCCCGACACACTGAGGTGAAAGGCTGTGAACAGTGACATTAGGTTCCTCCTCTCAGTGCCAGCTGTTTAAGCCGAGGGACATCTTCCTCGCTGCAGGTCGTGGGGGTAGTTACTACCTACCCCTAACCTCGCTCGTCCCCAAGGAGGCAGGGAACGTTCCTTCCCTCCCTAACGCTAGCTAGCCTGGCCGCCCAGTTCGCTTTCCCTCCCTGTTCCGCCTACCAGGCTGCGGGTGAAGTGCGAGCCATAAGACCGGGACTCGCCACATATCGAGAGCACACAGCTGAGGCGAAGGTTATTTTTGTCGATTTGGTCGAAGCACGGATTTTGGCTGAAGTTGTGATTTCGCTGACTTACTCTGGGCCCCCCCAACCTGCTCACAAAAGACAGCCGAAGGGATCACAGCCAAGCGCCCGACGGTCTCCCCACCCCCTTTCCAACGAGACAAGCACATAATTTAGTCTTTACCCGTTGCCCGAATCGCGAGGCGGCTCCCCTAATAGCACGCCCCTGCTGCCTTTCGAGCCTTGGATTCTTCGCAGCTACCGCTTGTGAGCACTGGTTCCTCAGCGACGAGGCGGCCCCCGATGAGCCTGCGACCATGCTCGCTCCACAGGACAAGACCAATACGACAATAGTCGAGCCCTTGACGGGTACAAAGGCCGCTCTAGCCTCCCTCCACTATGTCTACCCCATCGTCGTGTTCATCTACTACATCATCACCACCCTCGTTGCTGTCACTACGCTGCAGGACAAGGGACCACCGAACAAACATGTTCGCCGTCGTCTCATCACCGCGCTGCTCTTCCTCGTTGTCCTGAGCTATCTAGGCCAGTTCCTGACGCTCATGATCCATTCCTTGATCGAGTGGAGGTTTCTTGGCGAGCAAGACAACATCATCGGCCTCTTGTCATGCATCCTTGTCTTCGGGGTCGAGTTCGGAGGTCTTGTGGAGAGTGAGAGCCCAGTCTGGCATCCCTACATCGGCTCCTTCGGGCTGGCCATTCTGTTCGACCCGGCTATTCAAACGTTGTCGTTCCTCGCTCGAGCGGCCGACAGCGTACCCTTGTTTGAGATAATTGACACAAGCATTGTGGCCGTCAGGTTCCTCTGCCTGCTCCTCGCTG